GAAGAGATTCTTTTTCGTAGCTGAGGAAGAGTAAGGGGTGGAAGTGTTGATTCGGATTCTGGAAATACACGGCAAAGTTCGGATCTCTTGTTTACCTTCTTTCTGAAGTTTCATGAAGCAAATCTTACCTAAGCTTCCCCTGTTTTTTGCGGGTCTCAAAAAATAGAGCAAAGAGTGGTCTATCGGTTGATCGGCTTCTCACCGATACTCGTTCATCATCAAAACATTGCATTGTACAATAGAATGGAACTAGCTGCTTAACCTGTAAATATCCTAGTAAGATCCTTTCGATAAAAAAGGCAAAGCTTTGAGAGGGGAACTGACCTCTTCGTGAAGATTGAAGGTATCAAAATCTTCTATAATGACATCAACAATTTCAAAAATGTGAGTAGCATTTGTCACTTTTGATATGTCAAGCAGAGGGGTTGTATCGGGTCTGACCATCTACAAAGATTATTTGGTACAAAATCAATATTTCTAGTTTTTTAAGCGGTAACCTCAAAGCTTGAGCCTTCGCTGCTTTTCGAATGTGGATTCGTTCTGTGCTCCGACACTGGAGCGCTTTCGGAGCATATGAAGTCACCAAGGGTGATGATCCTAAAAATGGAAATTATTTCCAAAAACTGATGCCTAAATAAACTGACCGAGAGCTATCCTCTAATTGTGTAGATTCTAAAGAAGTTTCATTGCCAACTTCTTGGAAAGAATCCCAAAGTTCGCTGTAGCTACCGACCTTCGATGGTAACTCGTTGTCTTTTACCCGTTTTTTATTTCCTAGAAAGCTTTAGTGAGAAACTTGTTTAAAAATAATAAAATTATGTGTACCTGCTTTGGCTTGTCGTTTTTTCTTTCGAGGCAAAAGAGGTTGAGTGTAAACATTATACAGAATTTTTGCGTTTTCTACATAGTCCTCTGATTCTTGAATCTCTTTCAGACGTTTGATGAAGTATTCCAACTGTAAAATGTACCAGCAGCCGGATCACTTATGGGAAAAATGCTTACTGTCTTCTTCCTTCTTCTGGAAGACAATGTCGTCACTACATCATTATTTAAAACTTGAAGATTAGTCACCGTAGAACTTGTCGGATGAGCTGAAACCTATGTCCCCATCAATAGATAAAAACAATAAGTGTAAATTCACCATTGGATGAAGCTGGGCTGAGTTCTTGTTGGACCACGTATAATTCTGGATTTGAGGAAGACTGACTGCGAAGCAGAGTAGTGGGATTTATCTAGAAGAATCCTCATTAGAATCTTATATATAAAGCTGAATGTCTGTTTGTATGACTGTCTGTATGCATGTCTGTACGTA